CACAATATTAACAACAATTTAAAACGTCAATCCCCGGCAACGGCGTCAAAAACTTGATGCTTAATATTTTTGTATATAATATTTTCGCAAGCGTACGGTGTCAAGTTTTGAGTATAAGGTGAGTGAGTATCGTCTCCACAGGGATTGGGTTTAGAATTACCATTAAGTACCGTGATTATTGTAACTTAACTTATCTAGGCACCCCAATAAGATGATGATTAAGAACTAAAACAAAATAAATATAAGAAAATAAAAATAAAGTATCTATACACAAATGGTCTAGGGACTTGATTTCGTTTTATTATTCCTATATTCATCCTATTATGTAATCACTAATCAATTCCGTTCAATTGATTAATCAAGGCTCTAATGTCATCTCGCAACCTTTCTCGAGTGCCTCACAAGAAATTGTATTTAAATACCCAAAACAATATCCCTATTCGAAATGAATATTTAAACACAAATTAAGCTTCGCCTTTAGAATTAGAAAATAGGAATATTGATCGCCTCTCGGCCTCACAACGACCTAAATCTTAATTTGATTATCTAACCGTTGATCTCCTCTCGGTCTCACAACAACCTAGACTATGTTTCTCAAATCTAGATAAAGAACTCAATTTCTCTCGAGCATCAAATTTGTAATCTAAAAATCATCATAACTCATTGGCCAAATAAATTAGAAGCATTAAGCATAGAGAAACATAAATGAATTGAAAACAAAATTAAATTAACAATCAACAAAATATTCAAAACATAGTTCAAATAAAACTACATCAAGTCCTAGATTTAATGTCTAGCTCAACATGAAAAAATAGATGAAAGAAGATAAAACCCAATATCCATTGAAGAGCTTCCAAGGACCTCCAAGATGAAGGATTTCGGCCTCCTTTTGATGTTTTCTTCAGATTTCTGGGCTCCCCTTCTCAAGTGGCATCTCTTTCCTTTTATACTACTCAGTTTCAGAGCTAGGGCTTCATACGCGCGCTGCAGCCTGCATGAAAACGCGCTGTGGCGCGCATTTTTGGAAGAGGATCCCGCTGTTGCGGGCTGGGGTGCGCTGCAACGCGCGTTCCTACTCTGGGCGCGCGCCTGGGTGTGGGCGCGTGCCTGGATGTGGGGCACGCGCGGGCGAGCCCCTGGATGTGGGCGCGGGCGCGCATCCCATTCTGACTTCGCTTTCCTTTGCGCGCTGTAGGCCACTTTCTTGCATTCCAAAGCCTCCTATTTTGTGCCTTAAAGTCCTCTTTCGCCTCCTCTTGGCGTTGATTCACAAGTTGGGCAACTATTCTTCTTTTCTTCATGCAAAATCATCTAAGTTCGCATTTATTTATAATTCCTATAAAAAGCATACAAAAGACATTAAACTAACAAAAATGCTTGAAGACTTACAAATATTCATGCTTGAAAGTACTTGATTTGTTGGTAGAAATACCCATCATCAATGGTCACGTTGAGTTTGACATATGCAATAATCAATAATAACAACAACATCGAACAAAACCAATTTATAAGAATATGAAAATAGAAACCTTATACTTAATGGCTTAATATTAACTATAATACTTTTTTTTTCTTTTTTGCCTCGGAAATTGAAGAAAACATCAAAAGGAGGCCGAAATCCTTCATCTTGGAGGTCCTTGGGAAGCTCTTTAATGGATTTTGGGTTTTATCTTCTTTCATCTATTTTTTCATGTTGAGCTAGACATTAGATCTATGACTTGATGTAGTTTTATTTGAACTATGTTTTGAATATTTTGTTAATTGTTAATTTAATTTTGTTTTCAATTCACTTATGTTTCTCTATGCTTAATGCTTCTAATTTATTTGGCCAATGAGTTAGATGATTTTTAGATTGCAAATTTGATGCTCGGGAGATATTGAGTTCTTTATCTATATTTGAGAAACATAGTCTAGGTTGTTGTGAGACCGGGAGGAGATCAACGGTTAGATAATTAAATTAGGATTTAAGTCGTTGTGAGGCCGGGAGGCGATCAATATTCTTATTTTCTAATTCTAAAGGCGAAGCTTAATTTGTGTTTAAATATTCATTTCGAATATGGATATTGTTTTGGGTATTTAAATATAATTTATTGTGAGGCACTCGGGAGAAGTTGCGAGATGACATTAAAGCCTTGATTAATGAATTGAATGGAATTGATTAGCGATTACATAATAGGATGAACATAGGAATAATAAAGTGAAACCAAGTCCCTAGACCATTTGTGTATAGATACTTTATTTTTTATTTTTATATTTATTTTATTTTTGTTCTTAAATATCATTTTATTAGGTTGCCTAGATAAAGTTAAGTTACAATAATCGCGGTACTTAACGGCAATTCTAAACCCAATCCCTGTGGAGACGATACTCACTCACCATATACTCAAAACTTGACACCGTATGCTTGTGGAAATAAATTTATAAAATTCATATATATAAAAAATACAACGTACCAGTGAGATTAACTGTCGTTTGCTATTCTATTTTAGCAACTTATGAAGGAAAATCTAACCCTTTCCTTAAAGCATGTATTCCTCTCCTTTACTAAAGGATAATAAAGATCAATTTATTAAATCCTCAAAATCTTATTTTTCTTAATTTCCCTTGTTATGATATTAAGGCCCAATTCGGCCTAAAACTTATACATGACATTCTAACTCTTAAACCGCTGAAATTTATACTCCAACGAAGTCTTTTTATTAATGTGGGCGTTGGACCCACATTAAATCTTTAAAATTCTAAGAACCCATCGTATTGGGCTCGTAGGTGCCCATCGGGATGATTTGCTCGATAAACCACTAAGTTTTTTAAAAGGAATTATTTTTCTTGAAATTTTTTCCCTACGAATATTTCCGTTAAAACGAGGTTTAACACCATAGCCTTTTACTGAAATCATATCCCGGGTTCTTTGATAACTTTTTGTTGAAACCAACACTGTATTAGTTTCGTTTAGTTAAAACTGTACAGTTTCTAAAATATGCATTTTACTACATCTTAGATTTGGATTTTGAAAATTTGTTCTTCACAAAAATTTTTCATCTCGTCGAAATCTAAAATTGTCGTTTTATTTTAAAAACTGAGATTCAGCCTCTAAAGGTCTCGTTTGGCTGAACTAGTGGCTGCCAGTTTTTTTTTAAACTATTTTGGTTAAAAACTGTGTAATTTCAGAAATCTACTTTTTACTACATCTTAAGGTCGGATTTTGAAAATATGTTCTTCACAAAAGTTCTTCGTCTTGTCGAAATCTAAAATTTTTGTTTTTAAAAAAAATTGAGATTCAGCCTCTAAAGGTCTCGTTTGGCTGAACCAGTGGCTACCAGTTTTTTTTTTCCGAAACTGTTTTGGGCAGCCTGTACCGTTTTGAAAAATAGATTAAAACTTGCATTTAGAGTCAAAGCTACGTTTTGTCATATTCACAGAAAAATGTTCAAAACATCGAGGGCTATAAGTTCAAACTTTAAAACACCAAAAAATCTTGATCTAGGGTCCTCATTTTCGCGTTCAAAGTAACCGGAAAAATTTTCCTCTAACCAAAAATAAGCAAACTTCAACCAAGTATAAACATACTACATATTGCTAATCAAACTAACCTCAAAACTCACAAAACCAACATAAAACTCACACACCCTTATTACAACTTATCTCCTCAAGAACCACAAATTACATCCATAAATTCGAGCTTAAAGTTGGCTAGAAAAATAATGGAGAAGAGTTTAAGAAATTACCCTTGAAGAACTCTTTCTCTTGAAAACCTTTGAACTCTTCTAAGATTTGTTAATGACTTGGAACTAGAAGAGTATAAGAAAATTTGAGAAGAATATTTTTACATCTCAAACTTTACTAGAACATAAGAAAGAGAGATTTAGAGTTTATACCTTTGTAGAGATGCTTGACTAGACTGCTCCTATAACCCTTTGATCTGCTTCTTCTTCTTCTATTGTTTGCTAATGGTTTAAGGTTAGGAGAATGAGAGAAAATTTTTGAGAGGGAATGGGTGTAGTGTGGCCGGTTTTGGGGTGTAGAGAAAATGAGAATAGTAAAAAATGAGGCATAGCTTATGATGGTTCATTTTATAGACAAGTTGATAGTCCTTTTTTTTAACACCAAATCCACTCCATTAATTCAACTAGATTTTGAGTTCAAATCCCCTAAGCATGGCCTGTTCTAGGTGGAGAAAAGAAGGAGCAAGTATGCCATGATTTCTCCTTCAACCACTATCATCACATCACACCTTAACATAAAACCTTCTACCACACTCAACTAGCCAAAATTTGAAATGGTGTTGCTTAAGAGTGTGTTTGGTAGGAAAGAAAAGTAGAAGGAAGGAAGAAGGTGGAGAGATTTTGGGAGGAAAAATGGAAATGTATGTTGTTTGGTAGGAGAGAAAAGAGAAAGGAAGAGAGAATGGAGTGAAAAATAATACATGTGGGCCCCACTATTTTTTTTCTTTACACAAGTGGGCAGAAAATGGAATGAAAAATGGGGACAACTCATTAAAGTGAGCAAAGTTACTAAACTACCATTTTCTCCATCAACATCCAAGAAAAAAATTTAAGGGTATAAAAATAATTTACGAGTAAGATTTTTTCTTTCCTCCTAATTTAACTTCCAATACCAAACAAGTGAAAGTAAGCTCATTTTCTTTCCATCTTCTCATACCAAACAACATAAAAGAAAATCAATTTCATTTCCATTATTATTATTTTTCATCACTTTCATATTTCCTTTCTATCATATTTTCTTTCTTTCCAACCAAACATAGCCTAAAAGTATTTTACCGTGTCCGCCTTTCTCGTTGCCACAATATTGTGGGCGCGTGGGTCCTTCAAACAAATGATGAATTTACGACCGTAGACTTTACTGTGTTCACGACTTGATAATTGACCGACTGTTCATTGTTCTTGCTTTGATCTCCCCTATAAATACCAGTCTCACGAACTTCCACTGCATACACCAAGGCTCAAAACCAAAAAAAAAAAAAAAAAAAAAACCAACTTTCCAAATTTCTTATTGGATTTTGTTCTCTCTAAAATATTAGTGATTTTGTCATTTCTCATTTAAGTGTTCTTTTGAAACTTCTCAGTCTCAGATCTCTCAAGCTTTGTGACAATGAAGGTTAGTGATTATAATTTAACTCTGTTTTAAATTTTCTTTTCTTTTTTGCTTTCTCTTTCTGTTAGGTTGTGTATTTTGGTTTTCTCGTCGTAATTTTGGATTTTTTGTTTTGACAGGTGGTGGTGCTGAAAATCGATTACTATGACGAGAAATGCCAGAAGAAAGTCATGAAGACAGTCTCTGGTCATTCAGGTACTATATATAACTAATATATATATATAGATATACACATATAGCTTCTGTATTTAATTTGATCTTGTGCTAAGCTTCAATCAAGTTCATATATTTTATGACAAAACTTTTACTGATTTCCATTTTTTTTTGGGGGTGAATTGTTTAGGTGTTGTGTCGATTGCGTTGGACACGAAGGACAAGAAATTGACAGTGACAGGGGACATAGATCCGGTGAGTTTAGTGAGCAAATTACGGAAGCTTTGCAACACGGAGATTGTTTCGGTGGGAGCTCCAAAAGCAGCGGAGAAGAAGGAAGAGCCCAAGAAAGAAGCGGCCAAGAAAGAAGAACCAAAGAAAGATCAAAAGGCTGAAGATTTGCAGAAGCTGTGGCAGCAGGCATACCTGCAGCAGGCCTACAAGTATCCTCCGCATTATTACACCAGAACCGTAGAGGAAGATCCTAATGCTTGTGTCATCTGCTAAGTTTAAGATTTAGAATAAGTTAGAAAATAAGCCATGGAAAAAGAAATATTGTACTTTTAATTTTTAATTTTTAATTTTATTCTAAAGATCGTTCTTTACTGCTGTGTAAAGTTTTTTTATACTGAAAATAATCTCTTAATAAAATTACTAAATATATTTTTAAAAATAATTTATGTCTGAGATTGAAAATATTTTCATTTTCATTTTCATATAAAAATTAAAATCATTTTAGATCGAGTTCCAAACGCGTCTATAATACTCTGTTGAACACAATTTTTTCAGGTATCATAGTGTCAACAGATATCGCGTTCAACTTATTAGACACAATATTTACTGATCACATGATAATTGAAAAAATTGTATTCAACAGAGTATTATATTTCCTCCTCTATTATGTAGTGAATTTTCCGTACGGGTTTATGTGTAATTCATAACTTTGGCTTAATTTAGGATTGCTTTTTCCTTTCAAAATTACCTTTTTTTAATATTTGATAAATCTTCTTAAAAGTGATTTTTAAAGAATTTTTTAAGAATCTACAGCTAAAATCAGAAGCAGCCTAAAGACAACTTTAACTTTTAGATTAGGCAATAATCAACATGGTACAATTAATGAAACTTTCATAATACCCATAATACTCCTAATAAAATTTAAAATTTATAATCTTCCCAATTTAAAATTTAGACTCATAATATAATATAATATAACAATTATATTATAACAAATAATATCATAATTATATTAATAACTCTAATATTATTATATTATCATATAATATGATATTATAATAATATTATAATTATTTTAATAATATGATATTATAA